AACTCTCTCCGTGGGAGAAAGGCCGGTTCCCGGGAAAAGGCCAGTTCCCACCACGCAGAAAGCAGCTTTTATATTTCTTTTTGTGCTGGTGGCTGTAGGTCAATGGAGTGGCCAAACATGGCTGTACTCATGTCAAGACAGGCTGGCATTTATATTTCAGTTTAAAAAAACTCTTCCCTTCTTGATCTGATTATCCTGTCTGTGAATAGAATGGAACCGTCCCATGTCTCCTCCTGTGGCCATCATTCGGTCCATTTGCTGACTCATTAACGTCCTCACCAAAGAGCAGGCAGGAAGGCAGAACTCGGGGAAAGGTTAGGAGCTTCGTGTTAACAGTGCTGGTGAGAAATCCAGAGGGGGGAGATGGAGGCCTGCTGTCTAGAGCTTGTGGTGGGTTTGGGGCCCCACATTCACCCGCCCCTCGCCTGCTGGCTGACGGAGCCTCTTCCATGAGTGAATCAGAACTGGGATCCTCATTGGTGTTGGCCATCGTCGCCACGTCAGCCATGGAGTGAGGCTTGATTTTCTGTTAATGAATGGCAATGACAGGTGAATGGGAATTATTTTGGGTGATGTAGCTAACAGTGTGTCCACTGTTGCTCTGTGTCTTTTCCCTCTGAACCTCCGTTATCATCTGTGAAATGGGGAGAATAAAGCACGTACCTCACTTGTTGTGCTATTTCAGAATTTGAAGTGCTCAGCACAGTGTCTCGCAGAGTGACGGCTGACAGGGTGTCAGCTGGGGTTTAGTGATGGTGATAGTTGTTGTTATTTTCTCCTTCTCCTTACTTACCTGTCAGCAAGGCTGTGCGTTCGCAGGGGGCCGTGGGATTCAGGGGCAGTTTTATTCCCAGATATGGGCACTAGCAGGTGATGAAATACTCCTGCTCCTGAAGAAATCCCACGCTGGTGCCTTTTCTGTCCACTCAGGACCACTTTCTGGCTTTCCAGTTTTTCGCTCTTGCTTCCAGAGAGGGAAGCCTTCCCTGCTCATATGTCTTTGTGCTGAGACAGGCCTCTCCGGCTTACTCCCCTGAAACCTAGACACCGACCTCCTGTCTGGGTTTCTCTGCCCTTCCTGCGGCCAGAGGTCACAACATTCCAGTCAGATGATGAAAACGGGAACAGACTTGAGGAAGGGTCAGCCACGAGAGAGTTCAGGATGTTGTCCCTCGAGAGAAGTCCACACAAGAAGTGCATGTGGCTTGAAACTGTGTGTCAAGTTGTGTGAGGATCACGTGAGAAAACGCACAGAGCACTGAACAGCGTCTGCACCGCGTGCTCAGCACAGGGCGGCTGCGGCCACAGGCACCGACGTCACCGTTCCTGCTCCCTCTTCAGCATTCGTGGGGCCATCACCCTCCTACTGTGCCGCCCCATTTAAAGAGAGTGAAAAGAACATGGAGTAGGATCCAAAAGAAACTGTTGAATGCAATGAAGTAGTTGGGAAATAGGACCCTCCTTCAATGAAGAGAGGTTCAGTGATTTGATATTATTTAGAATACAGAAGAGAAAGCTGAGTAGAGTGTAATAACGCCCCGTTAATTTTGTGTCTGATGGTTTCAATTTTGATTGTTCAGAAGGGATCAGAATCAAGGAAAGGAGTTGTTCAGTGAATTAACGGTGTGAGCAAGATGAGGGTGCTGCTGAACACTGATTCGCTGGACACGATTTTAAGCAATTTAGAAATATCAATGTACATTCAAAATATGTCATCTAATTATGCACCTTTCTGCATGGTCACTAAATTATAATGCCTGGCACATAGTGGGCATTCAGAAAGATTTATTGAATAAATTCCCTTCAGCTCCTACTATGTGATTCTAGATTATTTGTTCTCCAGAGGCAATGATCACAGTAAGTTACTTTGACTTATTTGGTGGATTTAAAAGTACACATAGTATATAACTCATTATTTTACAAAATTCCTCATACTTTAGTCCCTTTCCCCACTACTTTCCCAAATAGACTAAGTTAGGAAGATTTTCTATGTCTTCTTTTATAGAAGAAAGAAGATGTGGGTGTGATTCTGAACAATCTACTGTCGTACCCACTTCTAGACTGTGAGAAGGAAAACAAGCTTAACTCGAATCAAGAGAGATGCTGACACCTTTTGTTTGAGTCAGTACATATATATCTGGTGATCTGTGTGCCAACATTTTATTAATTAATTAATGCTTCATTTTCTGTAAGGGAAGGAACTGTTCATCTGACTGAGAACTCTTGCCTAAATGATGAATTCTTTCTAAAGAATGACTGCACTATAAGATTTAGTGATTAAAAGAAGGAACTCTGGGTTCACCCTGCCTGATGAATGATGATCACCTTCATCATCATCTGATGAAGATGATAATGATGAAGATGACAGTGATATTGATGATGAAGATGAGGATGAAGAAGATGATGAAGATGACGAGGAGGAGGAGGACGAAGATGATGAGATGAAGATGATGAAGAAGATGATGATGAAGATGATGAAGAAGACGATGAAGATGATTGTTGATGGCAGAAAAAGGTTGAGGGCCAGCCCCGTGGCTTAGTGGTTAAGTGCGCGTGCTCCGCTACTGGTGGCCTGGGGTTCGGATCCCGGGCGTGCACCGATGCACCACTTCTCCAGCCATGCTGAGGCCGCGTCCCACATACAGCAACTAGAAGGATGTGCAACTATGACATACAACTATCTACTGGGGCTTTAGGGGAAAAGAAGAGGAGGATTGGCAATAGATGTTAGCTCAGAGCCCGTCTTCCTCAGCAAAAAGAGGAGGATTAGCACGGATGTTAGCTCAGGGCTGATCTTCCTCACAAAAAAAAAAAGAAAAAGAAAAAGGTTGAAAGGTGGATGGAGGAAAGAGGTAAAGGAAAAGGAAAGAAGTCGGGGAGAAGGAAAGAAGAGGAAAAAGAAGAACTGCTCGTATATACTTCGTCTAATTGAAGAATCTTGAATATTTTTTAAGTGAAGCACATTTGCAGTTTAAGAATGCTTTAATTAACATCATAATGATTAAAACCTGGGAGAGAGCGCTACAGACAGTGTATAAAACCATTTCTGGTAAATGTTAGAATAAGAGACGTGGGCACAGCCTGAAACACCTCTTAGTTCTGTCAGCAGCTGCTGCTGCTGCTTTCTTCATGGTGACCTGATATTCTAACAAGGAGTAGAACACTGCTTAATTGAGGGATGTATAAAGAGAAATCTAATTAACATGAGTTAATCCCACGTCAATAAAATGTAGTATAATAGAGTTAACTGAGATAAGTGTCAGAATTTAAAGCACTTAAGAAAACCAAAAAAGAATATGTAACTACTCGTCAGCGCTGTGCATGCCCAGGTGTGGTGGCGGAGTGGCGTCCTCTTCAGGTGTGGACCTGTGCAGGAGCCGTGCAGCACGCCCTCCTCTCTCTCTCAGGCTGCTTGACTGGTTCATTACTCATTTAGGTGCATCTTTCAGCCTCTGCTTTTATATTACCTCTTTCAGACCTTTGTTACGAGAACCCTAATCCTCCTATTTTGGAACCAAATCCCGAAGCAATTAAATATTGATTTGTTATCAAGTTTCAGGAAGTTAACTCTTAAATCACCTCAGCACAACAGATGCAATTATACTTTTCTTTAAAACTGCATAACTTGTGTGTATTATATAATGTTACTTTAAAAACTGATTTTTATAAATTGTATTTCTTTGCAGTTAGTGCTTCTATTTGGCAATATTTCCTCCTTAGTTGAAATTATTGCTTCTCCGTGCAGTTCCATTGTACAGAAATTTTTGGCTTTTATACCTTGGCAGCTCTTTTTCAAATTTATTGACAATTGAGATAAAAATGGGGACTGGCCGCAGGTCTGGGAGTGTGATGAGCAGGGAAGTAATCTCTGAAAGCTGTTAAAATATCCACAGGGGACGTCTGAATTAACAGGGCCTCTTGCAGTGATGTACGCTTGTGTGTGATCGTGTGCTTGTCATATTCGTTTAACACTTGTATTTATTCATAGACTAATTGATCCATAAGTCACAAGGGGTCTGTGAGTCATTGGTGAAAATTAGCAAGTTGCTGCATGTGTACATGACTTACATAGTCACTCTTCCTCGTTTTTTCCCACCTCATTAGATTTTGGACAATCCTGTAATTGTGTAATTGTGCCCTATGGCAC